AGTACTGGGCTTATGATCTAAGACATAGTCTTCTTCCAAGAACCTAGCATTCGTGCTAATGATTACTTTATGGTCCTCGGGACTATAAAATAGACCACCTTTCGTTTTCTTAGGATATCCCACAAACAGCCTTACTTATGATCTCGGTTCCAACTTATCAATATCGGTTCTCAGCACATGTGCTGGGCTACCCCAAACCCTGAGATGTCTTAGACTAGGCTTATGCCCAGACCACAACTCCAATGGTGTAGACGGTACTGATTTAGAAGGTACTCTATTCAAAATGTATACCGCTGTTTCTAGGGCATATCCCCAAAACGAATCTGGTAAACTACTATAACTCATCATTGCCCTAACCATTTCCATAAGAGTCCTGTTCTTCTGTTCTGCTATGCCAATCTGCTGAGGCGTGCCAGGCGCAGTCAGCTGGGACGTAATCCTATTATCCGTCAAGTAGCTCCTAAATTCATTCGAGAGATATTTGCCACCACGATCCGATCGTAATGACTTGATACTTTTTCCTAACTTCTTCTCCACAACTGCCTTATACTCCAAGAACTTCTCAAAGCATTCAGACTTGCGGTGCAGAAGGAAAATGTATCCATATCTCGAGTAATCATCGATAAACGTAACGAAGTACTCAAAACCACCTCTCGCTTGAATACTCATAGGACCACATAGATCGGAATGAACTAGCCCTAACACATCTTCGGCTTTATGCCCCTTTGAACTAAAATCTCTCTTAGTCATTTTACCTTCCAGGTAAGACTCACAAGTTGGAAAAGCCTCGACTTCTAACGACCCCAAAGGCCCGCCTGCTACCAACCTTTGAATCTTCCTAAGGTTAATATGACCAAGTCTTAGATGCCAAAGATATGTTTCGTTCATTTTAAGGGGTTCTTTTCTCTTATTCAGATTAGATGATGAATTAAGTAATTGTTTCTGCTGCAGTGGAGATGACTTAGATTCTAGAATATATAGATTGTCAACTAATGAACCAGAACATATGAACTTTTTGCCAAAACGAATAAAAACTTTATTATCAAACGTAGCGGAAAAACCGTTCATAAACAACTTAGAAACTGAAATCAAATTCTTTCTAAAACTGGGAACATAAAAACAATCTTTCAAAACTAGAAACTTATCTAAGCCAAAATCTAAATAGACGTCTCCCACTGCAACTGATGACGCTCTACTAGCATCGCCAAAGTAGATGGTAACCTCTCCTTCCCTAAGTCGCTTGGTTTCCAGGAACCCCTGCAATGAATTGCAGACATGATCAGTGGCCTCCGTATCTACACACTAGGTACTGGTAGATAACACCGCTAAACATGTTTCAACGACTAAAGCAAAAGGAGTACCTTTTTCGGGTTTCTTGGAAAGAGGGCAGTTTGCCTTCCAGTGTCCTTTCTGCTGACAGTTGTAGCACTTGCCTTTCGGCTTCCTTGCCTTTTTTCGAGGTTGCGCGTCACTCATGACCGCTTTGCCCTTTCCTGTGGACTTCTTCCTCTTCTTGCCCTTAGGAGCCTTAGAAGTGGAAGCTTCTCCCCGCTGGGCCACCATGGCTTGGGTCTTCTGACGAAACAGGCCCTCTGCCGCCTGAAGTTCAACAACAAGTTCCGGAAGAGTCATCAACATCTTATTCATGTTGTAAT